CTAGCGTAGTGATAAGTCACTTAGAACAGGGGTTGTAATCAAAAGTGTTAGCAACTTTAACTCCATGTGATGTGGTGTGTGGCAGTTACAACAGTGCCTTTCATCCCAAAAGATCCCAATGCATTTTACAAATGTAGGCCAAACTGAGGGGCAGGACAGCAGACACCAGGGGTGCTGGAACAATTTGTGTAGTGGGGGTGCTGAGAGCCACTGAACCAAGCTATAAACACTGTATATGATGGAAACCCAGTGGTGCAAGTAAGGCGGTCCAGTCCGGTACACCATACCAGTAAGATATTTATAGCCAGTACTCTGTACCAGAAAGACATGGGGGAGAGCAGAACAGCGCAGCTGTACCGCCTCCAAGCCCCATCTGCAGCCATGTCCTCCTGCAGGGCTGCGGGGACCCCAGACAGGACTCAGGAGATGCAGCTGCATGGAAGGGCTGGGGGCGGTACAGCCGCACCGGAGGAGCTGCCAGCATGGAAAGGCCAGTGGCCCCACATTCTGCTCTTTTCACCGCTGCAGTTCCAGACAGCCCTGAGGTTCAGAAGTCTCTGGTGCAGCAGAAGGAGGACAGAGCCCCCCCTCCAGGTTATGTGGGGACAGGGAGAGTGTGGGGGGCCCTGGGCTGGGGGCAGGGTAGGATTCCAAAGTGGCTGGAATCACCAGCTTATTAGTGCAATTAGTCACATGGGGGTCACATGGGGAGGTCACCCCCCCCCCAGCTTTAGCAGGTGCCCCCCTTTGTGTTCCTCCCATGAGTGCAATGTACCAGCAAGAAATGCACAACTGTGGAACCCTTTCAAGACAGGGAGTGCTGTGGCACTCCCAGCACCTCTAGTTCCAGCACTTATGGCAGGCACCTCAATCAATATGTAGGTACCTAACTAAGTACACTGATTTCAAAGATTCTGAGCATCCATAGCAGTGAAAATATGGAGATAGATGCTTAAGGTGAGGCCTCCAAGTTTGGAAGTGCAGACCATAGGCTGGCAGACAAACTACACCCAGGAATTGTTTTATGTACCACTGAAATGCAGACATTTCAGGAGTGAAAGACAGATGCTCTTTACAATCTCACAGCACACTAGAGAATCCTTCGGGGGGAGTGAAGAAGGCTGCTCTGCCCAGTGACTGTTCCAAAGGATGTTTAAGGAGACAGCATGTGACTGCCTGATGTCAAGATTTGGTCAGGGCAACAGGGGTAAGCCTTCCCCTTTTAGGAAGATGTTTATGATGTAACACCACAATGGCAGGCTCCCCCTTAGTTTAACTTACTCAGGATGGATCATGACAGGTCAGGTTCTCACAGACGGACCTAGCCAATCAATCCACAGCCATAATGTTGTTAATGATAGGAGTCATGTTAATGGCCAAAGTGGCTGGAATCACCAGCTTATTAGCGCAAGCTGAACTGGTGACTTCGGGGAGTAGGGGGTGGGGGTGGGGGTAGTGCGGGGGACACTTGTCCACCAACGTCTGGTTTCCAGAGCACTAACTCATCTCACATTGGTCACTGAACACCCAGCAAGGAGACAGCAAGGCCTTTGGTCAACATCACCCCAGACTAGATTCACAGCTGTGACCTTGCTGGGAACCTCAGTGCCAATTCCAGCAATCTTAGCTTCTGTTCTTACACTGCCAAACCCATCTCAATATGATCCAGTTCTACTCCTATCGAACTTGACAGCAAAACTTCCACTGATTTAAAGCAAGATCGGGGCCTGGAATATCTGTATAATCCAAATGCAGAGGGAAACCCAGGAGAAAAACTGCAGCATAGGTAAACAGGAACACCAAGTTCAAAGTGGAAAGAAATTAAAATGTAAAACAGAAGATCATAGTCAGGATTTGATTTAGGAGTGTATAGTCTGTGTTTTGGATAAGATGTAAAACCAAGGTCTTGAGCAGCTATGATCACAAAAGCTCCCATGATACTTTTCACAAATGTACATATATGTCCAGACCAGTTCCAGTTTAGGTAATTACATTTTACCTACCTCAATTTAATCCCATAGTTTTGACTGGATAGTTCATTCTTCTTCACTTCCTGGCCTAAACTACTGGGTAGTGTTGCAGTGCTGTGCGTTGTCAAATAGATGCTGACTTCTGCCCCAGAGGTGGTTCCATTTCAGTGGAAGGTGAAGTTATTCTGTAACAGGATAGCTGGGTATTCTTCTTTTGGACGACCTTGTTAGCAGGTGATGGACTCCAGCTAGGAGATGCTGACTGATTCCTGCTAGCTCACTGAGACAAGTATTACTGATTAACTCCACTGTGGAGATAAGGAAGGTGATCTGATGCTATGGAGATGGGCATAGAAGCAGACAGATAAATACTGTTATGCTGGAGGGTGTTACTGGCTCCAGCAAGCATATTTTTGATCTATGGGCAATCACAGATACTGATGGGCATGCTACTCACCTTTCATTCGGGCCAAAGGGAGCAATTAAATTTCCCTTTGTTTAGTGATTGTTGAAACAATAGAAGTCACCATCCAAAGCATGGACCAGCATGGCAAGGCCGAAGGAACAATGATATATAGTTAAATGGGGAAGCAATTCTTTAGTCAGAGGGAACTAGAGTTTAAGACAGAAAGAACTCAACAGAGAAGACCTAGGAACAGTCACACCTAGGGAGAAAGTTTTTTTGCTCTAATTTGAGATACTGATAAAGCCAAAGCTCAGGCAAGAGACACATTTGGACTAACTAATATGTGCAAATCCCATCTGTGGGAGCTGAACACTTGGAAATGTGGCCCCATGTCAGTGGAATGATGTCAGTTTACATCAGCTGAGGGTCTGGCCCCATTGTGTAGATGTTGCTTAGGAGCCTCATCAACTCACAGATTCCTGTACAATATTAGATGAAGTTTCCACTGAGCGCTGGCATCTTTTGGGATAAAGGCAAGATATTCCACCATTGTGAATAAAACATAGAGGTGAAGCACTCTGTGCAAGACAAAAGAAAGGGTTAATGCTCTCTTGCCTTCCTCTTCTGATCTGTGTTCAGCCCCTTGAACTCTTAATGATGTTTCACCAGATGCACCGAAGGTGTTTCATGGCTCCAGCTGAGAGATTTTATTTAACAAGTCAAAGTTAGAAATGACCTAGCCACAGGCCAAGAGCTCTTGGAAGCAGTGTCAGTGTTGGAACACAGAGTCAGGAATATGGAATTTCTTCCCTTGCGGTGGCACTGGGAAACGAAAGCAGGAGGGTTGCTTGGGCAGCTGGGCTGTTTTCTACTCATCCCTTTTTTGCAAAACTGCTAAGCTCAGAGCAGATGCCACGCTTGTTAGTCAGTGTTTACAGCCCAGGCTACAGGAGGCTGGGGCCAAGGTGGCAGGTTTATAGGGGAAGGGATGGGGAAAGAACAGAAGAACTGGGTGGAGCAGCAGTGAAAGGGAGAAGATCTAGAGCAGGGGTCTCAAACTCAAATGACCATGAGGGCCACATGAGGACTAGTACATTGGCCCGAGGACCGCATTACTGACACCTGTCCCTCCCCCCCGCCCCGACTCCACCCCTTCCATGAAGCCCTGCCCCTGCCCTGCCTCTTCTCACCCCTTCCCTGCCCCCATTCCAACCCCTTCCCCAAAATCTCCACCCCAACTCTTCCCCCTCCCTGCCCCCAGGGGCTCAGGCAGGGAGTTGGGGTGTGGGGTGCAGGAGGGTGAGGGGTACAGCAAGGGGTTAGGGTGTAGGGTGTGGCAGGGGGCTCAGGGCAGGGGGTTGGGGTGCAAGAGGGATGCAGGGTGCAGCAGGGGTGCAGGGAATGGCAGGGGCTCGGGGTGCAGGGTGCGGCAGGGGGCTCAGGGCAGGAGTCAGGGTGCAGGAGGGGTGTGGGGTGAGGCAGGGGGTTCAGGGCAGGGGGTTGGCAGGGGGCTCAGGGCAGGGGTCAGGGTGCAGGAGGGGTGTGGGGTGAGGCAGGGGGTTCAGGGCAGGGGGCTCAGGGCAGGGGTCAGGGTGCAGGAGGGGCGCAGGGTACGGCAGGGGGTTCAGGGCAGGGGGCTCAGGGCAGGGGTCAGGGTGCAGGAGGGGCGCAGGGTACGGC